CTTTTTTTTTTACATGGGGGAAATCCTTTACGGATACTCTGCATCCCGGGGGAGGGCGCAGGGTTATGTGGGACTCCCCTTCCCGACCCGCAAGTCGGAGAGGGTATACCCACTAAAATTTCCATGGTGTGTTTGCCTCGCTCATCTCAGGGAGGACCCGGTACTTTTGATTCAGGACTCGTCGCGGGTCCTCCCTCGAGCTTCATACCGTTCTCGTCGGGAAGAACTTATTGTTCTTTCCGCATTATCTCTGACTTAGCAGCGCAAACGGGACACACGTCGCCGCACTGCTCCATCATTGAGGACGCGTGCAGGACGGGTCAAGGCTCTCTACTCTGATCCGTCACGTTCCTGGCAGCAGGTACCATCTTCTCCGGGTGACGAGTTCACCCGGGGAGGCTGCTGCAAACCAACACCTGTCCGAAATTTTGCTCCGCCGGGACGACAGGCTGACGATGGAGCCGGCTCCCCCAACGCTTGCCGCCCCAGCTTTTCTCAATGCTACTAAGAGCAGGGAGGGGTTTATTGTCAAGAGGGGCCACCAGGACAAAAAAATGTGTCGGTAAGTGTCGTCAATGACGACAGTGCCTTACCGGGTACATGTATTGTCTATCCTTGTTTAGGGGAGCACTAAACATTTCTCTTTTTATACAACACAATCACCTTTTTTTTTTATTTTTTTTTATTTTTTATTTACGCAGGGGAAATGCATTTACGCACATCGTGACCCAGATTAAGTGTGGGCCAGGGTAGTGTGGGACCGCCTCACTAGAACGCACCCCGGTGAGGAATACCCACTAAAACCCCTGCGGTGTCCACTTTCAGCCCATATAGGGCTGCCCTGGTACTGCTTTTAGCTCAACCCAGAGGCAGCCCAGCAGGCATGGGGACTTACGCTTCCCTAACCCTTAGGTGGAGGAGTGAGGCTCCTCCACGATCGAAGGAAGGGGGACACAACCCTTCCTCCGCCATCTGCAGGCCGAGTGCAATGAAGGAAAACCCCTCTCGGCCCAGAGTCAAACGCCGGAGCGGACTTGACCCCTTGATACTGACCTCCCTTCTGTCTCAAAAATAACGAGACAAGAGGAAGGTCTTCCCCCCGCACTGCGCCCAGTCACCGCTGAGTTGGGCCCCAGCTAGAGCTCAAAACAACGGGGACCGGGCCTCCACTAATCACCGCCTGGACTCCAAAAGAGAGGCCAGGTGTTCCCTACTATTATATCTGATGCTAAACGCAGCAGATAAAACGCATCAGAAAATGCTTTACGCATCCTCACTCTTAGGGAAAGGTGGGGTATGTGAGACTCCCCTCTCCGGCTCGCAAGTCGGAAAGGGTATACCCACTAAAAACCTTTTGCGTGGCCTAACTTTGCGCGGTCTGAGGAGGGGACCTGGTATCTCCGTGTCGGAACTCATCGCGGTTCCTTCCCTACCTACCAGGCGGGTACATCCGCCTTGCGCTCAAATGAGCGGTGCTTTACTCTCGTCCAAGACGAAATGGAGGGCCACACCTCCACTTCGTCGGGTATGCAGGGCCACGTGCAATAAGGGACTTGGCTCCCTGACCAAGCCCCCCGTGTGGCCCGGCGTCAAACTCCAAAGGAGGACGCCTCCTTAAATGTGGTTATTTACGCGAGGGCCGACTTACTTCCGTGGAAATAAGCCGGCTCGTACTTCTTACGGAAGAGGGCGGACATGTCCGTCCCCAGTCCTTGCCCCGAGTTCTCTAAGTTATTTCTTCGAGGACGCGGGGCCGGGCTTGCTCGGCTTTTTTTGTTCCTGGGGAGAGCCCAAAAGAGCGGCCACCATTCTGGCCCTCCGGGCCTGTTCCTTTCCAAAAACTTTCTTGGCCATTGCGGCCATTTCCCTCCCCACTTTCTTCGGAGCACTGGGCTCCGGAGGGGGGAGGTTTTGCGCTTCGGCGACCGCTTGTCACCTGTTTGGGTGGTTCAGCCGCCGATTGGGAACTCTGCGTCCCAGAAGACGCAGGAGCTCTCGTCGTCGTCACATCGAGGGGGGTCGTCGTTTTTTGGACGTATCCATGGTTTTGGCCGATGGATCTCGTCGAGGAGGGGAATCCGGTTTCTTTTTGTCTTTGCTTATGGTCTGCGAGGAAGTCCTCGCAGACCCGAAAGGGCCCAGGGCCCTTCTTCTCCTGCTTTCCGAGGGGAGCACGCGGGCCTTTTCAAGCGGTGATTAAGAGGCCCTTAAGCCCCAGATCAGAGCATAGGGGGCACTTCGGCTTCTTTGCCGTGCATGTCCCCACCTCATGACCTGGGGCATCGCAGCGGAAGCAACGTCCGCTGCGGTCGACCGCAGAGGTGCAGTACCTCCTCACATGGCCCGTGAAAAGGCACCTGTAGCACCTCAGCGGCCGGGGCGGGAAGACCTTCACCGAGGCCGAACTCCACTTCACCCGCACCTACCTTTTCTCTGGCTCATACCCAGCCGCCTCACAGCGGTGATCGGGCACTGGGCCCAACAGGTAAGATCACTTGCGGGGGACTCCAGGATCTTACCGATCCGGACTCCAACTCCTGGGAGGTGGCGGACAAGTCGAACCTCGCCAGCCGGATCTCTCCGGTTTTGGCGGGGCACGACACCTTCACCCCCAGGTTTCTCCTTTTTTGTGTTAGCAGGAAGTCTCTCATTCACGAGTACAAGGCTTTTGCCTTGTTCTCGCGGCCCTCACCGGAGATCGGCAAAAGCAGACCCTCGGTGGCGGAACGCTTCGGGCGAAGTTTGGTTATCCCGAACCTGGCGTTTATGTTAGGGAGGGCCTTTCGGAACGCCGTCATGGCGTCTGCAAGGGATGCGTTCTCTCTAACTGCCGTCTACCCTTTTGCCGCAGTGTTGGGAATGCGGATGCGCCTAGGGCGCACCCTCCCGGCACCGCGCCTGGGGGGTTTGAGGGTCTTAGCTCTTTTGCCTCCAGGCTGTCCCTTCTTTTCGGAGGAAGACTGGGCGGCGGTCTGGGCCGAGGCCTTTGCCCGCCGTTTCGCCTTCTTCCCCACCACTTGTGCCCAGGAAGCGGGGTCGGCTGACGCCGATGTCCCGGCCTGGGCACCACCAGTACCCGGCGCCGGCTTCGCTCCCCGTCCCTTGCTCCGCGAAGCGGAGCGAGACGTCGGAGGGGCAGGGCGGCCGGCTCCTCTTTTCTTCCTCGTCGCCGAGGACGCCTCTCGTCTCCCCGCAGGGAGGGAAGGGAGGAGCCTGGCGAGCTTGAGCTCGATCAGAGCTTCCACCTTCTCCAGAAGAGGGGACTTCTCACCGAGTCCCCTACTGGACGAGGAAGGTGGCGGAGGGGGCATGCTAACTTTAGCACGCAGCTCCGCCACCTCCCTCCTCAACTGCACTACCTTCGCCTAGAGCTCCTTATTTTTTAGGGCAACCTTAGAAAAGGTTGGCGCGGAGGTAAACTCCGGATTCCTTTGGAGACGCCCTATAAGCGTCTCCAGGATAGTGCGGACGTTTCGGCTTGCCATCTTAAGGGCCTTTACCGAAGTGCCCTTAAGATTCTTGGAGCGCTGGGCCACTTTTTCCACCGCGTCTAACTCCTCGTACACCCGTTCCGTAACGCGGACGGTGTCAAGGGTGGGCAGCTTGTCCTCCACGAGCTGGAAGGGCAAATACTCTGGAGGAGCTTTCCGGGCCGGATGCCGTACCACCTCCGGGTCGGAATCCGAGTCGTACTCCGACCCGGAAGCCCCACCACGCAGCTCACGTAGCTCCGCCTCGCGAAGGGCCTTCTGGGCCGGGCGGAGTTCCCTTTTCTCCTCGCGCGCCCGTCCGAGACCTACGAATTCTCCGTGGATGGGTGAGCGGCCGCGTCCTCTTTTCTTCGGCTCTGTTTTATCCGAAGACGGACCCGGAACCGGGCTGGGGGTCGTCACGTCGACCTTCATTGCATGGCTCTCCCCAAACTCCAACGACCAGTTGGAGGAAGCCCTCGACGCTACGCCCCTCCTCTCGCGACTGCTTCCTTTCGAAGAGGAAGTAGCCTTCGCAGGCGCAGAATAGTTGGAGGTGCCTGCGGTGCACTCCTCCAACCGCCCGTTGCATGATGACGACAAGGGGGAGCGCGAGACGCTCACCTTCCCATGCCGGGCCCTGGGTGTCCGTTCACCCTGGGGTAAGTCTAAACTCATCTTTTTGCCTTCCATCATGATACAAAAAGTGACGGTTTTATTTCGGACTTGTACCTATCCTAGACCGGTTGCCTACCATGGCTACCGAGCCCGGTCTGCCCGTGGATCCTTCTCTGAGTCTGGCAGGTCATGGAAGGCCTGTCCGGCAAGGTAGAACCCACCAGGACCGAAGTCCCGCTGGCATAGCCCTTCCAATCACCCCTGCAACACAAGCCGGGGCCCCACGTCAAGGGGGAAGAGTCCAAACTCGTTCCGGGCCCTAACCTAACTTAACCTAACCTAATTTAATTTTATCTATACGTCAAATGCAACGTTGCCGCATCGTCACTTTCTGTCGACTAACGGTTTACTCTGAATGTACGAGAACAACTACTTTAATTCCCGAGCGCTTCAAGTACCTATAATTCGAAACTTTAAACCATATTTTTTTATAGAACCATTTGACAAAAAATTAGTATAAATAGAACTTAGTTGTTTTCTTTTATAGAATCCAAAAATGTAACTTTATGAGTTTTCATTAAAAATTAAAATTTTAAAGATAACTTTTGCTCCATCTATGCAACTGAGGTTGTGAAACCAACTTTTATTTCACATTTGAAGATTCTTTAAACCCACGCAATTCAATATCGCAAACATTAAAATCGATGGTATAGGTCTTAAGAAATTGAGCTGTAAACACTTATGTGGACCATATTGTATATATTTTTGCACATGTGTGTTGTAAGTACTACATCTGTTAAGTTTTGTAATTTAATTTAAATTCAAGGTTTTAATTGGAAATTATTACTTTTTTTATAAATAAAGATATAATATATGTATATTTTTTATTTTGAAATAAAATTATATTATTAGAACGGGTACTACCGGAAGTGACTACTCCTTACCAGAAAGACGTGTGGGCTCTCTACAATATAAAAAACGTATAAGTCATCAAACTTCTACGCTTTCGGAAGACATTAAACATCAGTACAATAGTAGCAACGAAAGCATTGGCTCTGTACAGTCAAAAGCACAATCAAAACCAAAGACAAAGGCAGTGAACACTGTACAATCTGCTCCTACAAATAGTAGCATAATACCAGAAGTTACCAAGGAATTACGTTTGATGCAACGACCTGTAAATAACTATAAATTTGGTGATGATAGACTGATTCTGGTATCAAATCAACATGTGCCATTTGTAATATTTTCTGCTATTCCATATAATAAAGGACAACGCTCTAGTTGGTAAGATTTGTGTGTGTGGGTGTGCGCAGACGCGTACATACACACATATTGTATATACAGTCTGAATATGTACCTCGAAATAGGACCGCGATGGAACCAAAGGGGAAGAAATTTCCGCGAAGTCAAGTATCCTCACCAAAACGTCCGCGATCGTCGCGGCAAAATTTGCAACTCTCTTAATAAGGCCGGTCTCTTGTACAGCCGCGCGTCTATTATTTACATCTCGGGAATTACTGTGTTAATTTTGTTTTTTTGGCGAAACATATCTTCTCATTGTAAGTACATATTGCGATGAGCTTTATTGAAAGATAAATAAAACCATAACATGTAGTTATTTATGTATAAAAAAATATGCTGTTAAAAGAGTGTATGATAATAAAATAAATGAATAATAAATAAATATAAATTTCTAAATTATTATACAGGCCAGAAACCCATTTTTTTCTATATAACATAACATGTGATAAATTGTCTCTAATGCGCGGCCCTATTCGGAGAGTCGGACAAAATGCTCGAGTTTTATCCGCCTTCGAGTGGAGAAACCGTTTGAAGAAGAAACTGGAGAAGCGGCCCTATTGCGAGAGGTCTTATTTCGGGGACTGTGTATACACATATATGCATTATATAATAAAGATATATATGATAACATGCTACTTTAATGACAATTCAATGTTATTTAGGTCAGAATTACGTAAAGATACATGTCGAAGAAAAAATGTATCATCTCAGAGACCACTCTCAGCAATTAATGATAGTATTGACCCATTTAGATTGCTTGGCATAGAGCATGCTAAAGATGGTCAGGTATGAGAAATGTGTTATTTTATTTATTTTTAATATCTATTACTATTAGTATTTTATATATTTATTTAAACTATTAAAAAACTTAATATCACATAAAATTAGTAATACTATTTTGCAGGAAATATCTTATGGGCAATTACTTGTACCATCTAGGCAATTTCAGAGAGATAAAAAGTTGAACATAAGTGAAGATGAAACTATGGAATTCTCACTTATACCTGCTAAACACGTGGTACAAAGGTATATAAAAATATATATTTATTTAAAGGTTCTTTTTTTGTATCATTTTTTTTTGTGTAATGTTAAGACACTGCGTTTTTGTCTTGATAATTTATTGTTACAGCAGATTCCTGTTTACGTCATATCGTTAAGACCGACCGAATAACCTACTTACGTCAAGTTTTTCTTATCTTCCCTACCCATCCTTGAGCGCATTATTATTTCATATTTATTGTATAAAATGCACAGCTTAACTCGTGACTGTATACTAATATATACAGGGTGTCCCGTAATAATTAGTAAACCTTACAGGAAATTAAAGAGGATAAAATTTTGAACTAAAAATTCCTTTTTTATTTTTATTCTTTTTTATTTATTTGACTTAAACCATTGTGTACCGAGTTTTTAACCATTAAAGTTTCTCAATGAGACGGCGCGCTTACAAAGTATGCAGGAGCGTCGCGCGCTGTGCGACTTCTCGCGCTTGTCTCGATTACATTGCTTCTGTTACAACTTTATTTTACTATGTCACATTAGGTACCACAGGAATAAATAAAAACAGATTAATTAACTAATTAATTTATTTGAAAAAATTATTGCTACATTGTCCGAAATTAATGAATACATAAATAATTAATGTTAATCGTATTTTTTTACATTTTTATCATTTGAAAAAATAACTCACACATAAATAAGTAAATAATTATTATGTAAATTAATCTATTTTTTCAAATGATAAAAATGTAAAAAAATACAATTAACATTAATTATTTATGTATTCATTAACTTCGGACAATGTATCAATAATTTTTTCAAAAAAATTATTAGTTGAGTAATTTCTACCTGTTTTTATTTATTTATTCATATATTACTTAATGTGACATAGTAGAATGAAGTTGTAACAAAAGCAATGTAATCAGGGCTGTGTCCAGTTAAGCAAAGTGGAACGAACGAAAGAAAAAAATGCAGGAAACGCAGGAAATGGAACTAATGAAACTAATGGAACTAATGAAAGAAGTAAAGAAAGTGAAAAAAAAGAAGGTTGGCTCCTCTGATCTGTTGCGGAACATGTGTAGTGGCAAAATTGGAACCGAAACAATTCTTTAAGTTTCCATCCCGAAGAAAGTGAAAAAGGAAACGAGAGAAGGCGGCGTATACGGATTATAATTAAAAAAAAAAAAAAAAAAAAAAAAAAAGGAGAATTGGAATTTATAGAGAATCGAACAAGGAAGCGCTAATTGTGACAGAAGATGGTGGTCTATAAAGTAACTTGTGAAAGTGACGAGGAAAAGAGACTTCTTCTTCTTCTTTGCTGTTATGGCTCCGTGCCCCTGTACGGTTTAGGCACTGGCCAGTCTTTGATTTAAGCACTCAAGCAAGCTAAGTTATAACATACTGAGCTGCTTGCTGCGCTGTGAACTGGGATTCAGGAACTAGTAACATTATAGGTATAGACAGGATAGGTAGAGGTAAAAGGAGTAGGAGAAGTAAGAGACAGGAAGGGGTAAAACAGGTTACAAGGAAGGGTGACACTGCTCTATGGGTTGATTTATACATTTATGTTGGCTGAATTGACAAACGATAATAAAGCAAACATGGCGCGAAAGTTATCTGAAAACGCTACTTCTTTTACGCTGTATGGTGGACTAAATCCATTATGATAGAGATCTATGAGCAACTTGTCTGTATGTTCTTTGTTATTTGGACATTGGAAAAAAACATGATTAATGTTTTGTATCGGGTAACCGCACTGGCAGCCCGCACTATCCACAATATTTTTCTCAAATAGGTGACTGTTCACTGCTGTATGGTGTGTTCGAATTCTAGAGATAAGAGAAATTAGCTGTCTAGGGAGAAATTTCCCTTTTTTAGTCCTAGTGTACCAAGGTTTACCCAGCGGTTCCGGGACATACCTAAAATAACGACCACCTTTGTAACGGTTCTATTTTTCGGGAGCAAATATTCCGTTGTTTTATATCTTTTAATTGCTGCGGAGTAGCTCGTCGGATTCCAGGAACAGGTAAGAAAGAGAGTGGACTCGGTAGTTTCAAGTAACAAAAGAACAAGGTTTATTCAAATAAAAAGAGAATTAAAAGAAATAATATATACAAACAATTAACTAAAAGAAAATAGCTGAATAAACGGAAGAATTCACGATACGGTGCTTCTCGGAATCATGCGTGAGAAAGTCACGTGTTTAGTCGGTTCGTTCGGTCCTCNGNAAAGAAATATATACAAAAATAACGAAATGCAATGTAAATGATACAATAGACCGAAGACTTAACTGTGCGGTGCTTCTCGGAACGGTAGGCGAGAAAGTCACGGTTTTATTCGGTCTGCCCGACGGAGAATCGGAAGATTCCCCCGGAGCGGAGCGGGTGCCGGTTTACCTGGCGGAGAATGCAAGGTTCTCCCGGAGCGGAGCGGATGCCGGTTTACCTGGCGGAGAATCGGAAGATTCCCCCGGAGCGCAGCGGATGCCAGTCTACCTGGTGGAGGACGCTAGATTCCCCCGGAGCGGAGCGGATGCCGGTTTACCCGGCGGAGAATCGGAAGATTCCCCCGGCGCGGAACGCAAGCCGGTTTACCCGGCGGAGAATCCAGAGATTCCCCGAAGCGGAGCGGAACGGAAGCCGATTTATCCGGCGGAGAATACAAGATCCCCCGGAGCGGAGCGGAACGGAGGCCGATTTACCCGGCGGAAAATACAAGATTCCCCCTGGAGCGGAGCGGATGCCGGTTTACTCGGCGGAGAATACAAGATTCCTTCTGGAGCGGAGCGGAACGGAGGCCGGTTTACCCGGCGGAGAATACAAGATTCCCCCTGGAGCGGAACGGATGCCGGTTTACCCGGCGGAGAATACAAGATTCCCCCTGGAGTGGAGCGGATGCCGGTTTACCCGGCGGAGAATACAAGATTCCCCCTGGAGCGGAGCGGAGGCCGCTTTACCCGGCGGAGAATCCAAGATTCCCCCTGGAGCGGAGCGGGACGGGTGCCGGTTTACCCGGCGGCTCCGGAGATCGGAGCGGATTTTATTTCTTCGGTTTTCGGGCCGGCTTTTATACCCGAATTTTCCCCGGAGCGGGGGTTGACAAAGATGCGCGGAAAAACAGATAGTTGTTTGTCGCTGTCAGTTTCGTGGCGCGGCGAGGCGCGCGGTGCGGGCGCGGTACCAGGTCGCTTCGTGGCGCGGGGTAGCGCGCAGTGCGGGCGGCGCGTAGACCGCTTCGTGGCGCGGGGAAACGCGCGGTGCGGGCGGCGCGCAGGCCGTCAGCGTATATTTTAATATACGCTTGTTTCGGGTAATTATTTGGCGCAAAGCGCCGCGTTTTTGGCCGGGACGGATGGTCGGTCCCGGCCGTAACGATTTGCATCGTTACACCTTTACTGCGTGACACACTGAGGAGATACTCTCTAGACTGCCGCTAGACAGCCGACTTGATAGAAGGGAAGAGGGAGGAAGCCTCCTGTTTTTCAGCTGGTTCGGGAAGAGACTAGGCTTGTTTGGCGTGAGAGTCGGCAAGTTCATTGCCGCGAATGCCAACATGACCGGATACCCAGACAAACTTAACCCGGACACCCTTGCTTTCTAACTTAACATCCACCTCCTTTATTTTGTACACTGTCAGAGTATGACTCCCTCTAGGGTCAGGTGATTCTAGGCAACGTAGTACAGATAGCGAGTCTGAGGCTACCACTACCGACGAAAAACCATATTCGTCTACGTACTCCAAAGCGCATAATATTCCCATCGTCTCTGCATCAAAAACGGTAGAGGAAGAGCCGACACGTTCTTGATGAACCAAGACTGGGTCCTCAGACACAACAGCAAACCCCACGGTAGCTGAGGAGACACCGTCACTGGGGCGGACCAGAGATCCATCTGTAAAAAACACGCGAGTAGGACCAATCTCCGACAGATAACTTACAAACACACTCTGAGGATCCTCAGACTCTCGAAGCCGGTACCTTACCTCAGTATCTACACAGCACCTTCGATAACACACCCCAAAAGGGAGGGCTAAGCTTCCCGGCAACGAATACTTTACCACATTCTTTACCAACTTCTAAGAGACCAAACCGGACACCCACGCAAATTGGAGCCCAATCCGCACAATTCTCACTGACGAGCTGTCCTACAGGATGGTTAGTCCTCCCCGAGATCCTGCAAACATATTTACTGAGTAGGTACTTGTGTCTATACACCAGGGGTTGTTCACACACTAAGTCTAACAATACATTAGTTGGAGTAGTCCGCATAAGACCACACGCATACTGTAATTTTTCTAACACTTGTGTTTCTTGTTCACCGAGAGGGAAGGTGACCTGACAACCCCACTCCAGGACTGACCTTACCAGTCCCCTATACGCCGTCATCAACACCGAAAGGTGTGTTCCTCACCTTATTCCTGCAATTGCTTTCAGAATGTTAACTCTAGGAAGAACCTTTTTACGGGTCTCAGCAACATGTTTTCTCCAACTAAGTTTGTAATCAATATAAACACCCAAAAACTTTACGTTCCACTCCATCCTCACTGGTGACTGGTCTACTTGAATTTTGACATTATGTTTTTTGATTAGCCACTTAGTATTTCTTAAGGAATTTAAGGAATAGAAAGTGGCTACCGACTTGCTAGGAGATACACTCAGGCCCAGTGAAGACAGGTGACTGTGGACGTTTGACAGGGCTAGATTTAGCTGGTAAGAGACTTCTGTAACAGACTGACCTGAGCTATACACAACCAGATCGTCCGCATATATAAGAGAATCCACCGCGGGAGGTAGACTCGACTTAACGCGAGACATGTACAGACGGCGTCATTAAGAGGATGCTGAACCGTTCTGTTTTACCATCATTTCGTAGTTCCATTTTTTTGTGAAAACTATGAATCGGAATAAAAAATCCTTCTCCAGAAATAAAGGAAATATAGTAAAGAATGGGATAAAGCCTAAAAATTTAAGAAAAACAAAAAAAAGTTTTTAGACTGTTTTTACAGAAACTACATTTTTACTTTATATGCAAAATTGGCCATATAAATCCAAATAAAAATACCTTTATCCCAAACTAGAAACATAGACGAATATTTTGAGTGCTTCAAAAAAGATTTTGAAGCCTTGTGAGACAAGAAAAATTGGAACTACGATTAGTACAATTTTAGCAGAAGCGTTAGAAAGAAACATATGTCTATCCTTGGCTCTTTCATGTCATTTATCCTTGTTTTGGTTTGATTCGGTCCCGAGAGATGGCGCCACCTACCCGATAGCGTAGCGGTTGAGTAGCAGCTGAGTGGACTTTTGCCAGCTGTTCAGT